TGGTGTGGGAAATGGCAACCCACTCCAGGATTCTTGCCTGGAAAATTCCATCGACAGACGAACCTGGCGGGCTACAGTCTATGGAGTCGCAAAGGGTGGGACACGACTGAGCTCGCAGATACAGCTGAGTGTTAGAGCTAAACGGGGCTTCAGAGACGTGGTGGGGGACAGAAAGTAGGAAGGTGGGGCAGGGAAGACTGAGTCCCAGTCACATAGGATGTATAGAGAACGGAACCTGGCACATCAGAATCATTTTGCCATTCGGCTGGAAAGCAAAACAACACCAACAAAAAAGACAGAAGGGCTATCAGTGGAAATGGCAGAACAGGAAGCTCCATGGGCCGTCCCTACACAGAAACACTAAAATGGTGTCAGAAATGACTTTATGGGAGGTCTGAGAAATAGCTGATCATTTGCAGCATTCAAGTGAATCCTCAATCAAGAAGAAGATGATTTAAACACAGCATAATGGAGACATTACCAGCGATTTTAAGGTAATAAAAACGATTATAAGAGAAAACTATGAACAATGTACACTAAACAAATTAGGTAACCTAGATAAAATGGACAAATTACTAGAAACATATAGACCATCAAAACTGAATTGAGAAAAAAAAGATCTGAACAGCCTTATAACCAGAGATTGAATCAGCAGTTTTAAAAAAACACACACACACCACCACCACCACCTTCTGATGAAGAAAAGTCCAGGACCAGATCAGTGGTTCACTAGTGAATTGTATGAACTGCTAAGAACAATTAACACCAATCCTTTTCAAACTCTTCTAAGAATAGAAAAACAGTCAACACTTCTTAACTCATTTGATGGGACCAGTATTATGTGATACCAAAACTAGAGACATCCCAAGAGAAAAAAGCTACAGACCAATATCCCCTATAAATATAGATGCAAAAAATTCTGAATAAAATCCTTGCAAACTGAATCCAGCAGAATGTTAAAATAATTACACACCATGACCAGATGATATTTATCTCACAAGGGGTTCCACAAATAAGAACCAATTATAATATACCATATTAAAAGAATGAAAGAAAATATAATAATCTTCAATTGAGGCAGAAAAAGAATTTTACAAAATCCATCACTTTTTCATGATATAAACATTAAACAAGCTAGGAATAAAGAGAACTTCCTCAATCTGATTAAGAGCATTTGTGGAAACAAACAAACCCTACAACTGACATCAATAGTGAAAGACTGAAAGAGTCACCCCTAAGATCAGGAACAACAACAATGCCTACTTTCACTGCTTCTATTCAAAAGTGTATAAGAAACATTGTCCTGTAAGTTACAACTTGAGCAATATGTCAAGAAAAAGGAAATAAGAGACATCCAAATTGAAAAGAAACAAGTAAAACTATCCCTCTTTGCAGATGACATGATCATATATGGAAAATAAAGAATACACACGCACACACACACACAAAAGAAAACTATTAGAGCTAATAAATTCAGCTGTATTTCTAAACACTAGCAACAATCCAGATAAGGAATTGAGAAAATTCAATTTTAAGTAGCATCAAAAAGAATAAAATACTTAGAAATAAATTTAACCAAATAGGTGCAATTAAAGAAGACGTAAATGAATGGAAAGACACCCTGTGTTCATAAATTAGAAGACTTAATAGTGTCAAGATGGCAGTAGTACCTAAGGTAATCTACATATCCAGTGTATGGATAAATCTACATATCCAGTGGGATGAAAATCCCAATGTGCATCTTTCTTTTTTTGGTAGAAATGAAAAAGCTGATCCTGAAACATACATGGAATTGCAAGGGACCCCAGATACAAACTTGAAACAGATCAAGATACTTTTGAAAAGAAGAACAGAAATAGAATACTTATTTACTTCTCAATTTCAAAACATACTGCAAAGCTAAAGTAATAAAAACAGTGTGGAGCAGATATTAAAAATACATATATATCTCAGTGGAATATAATTGAGAATACAGAAATAAACCAATACATCTATACTCAGTTGATTTTTTAAATTTACTTAAAAAATTTTTTATTGCACTGGGTCATCATTGTTGTGCACAGGCCTTCTCTAGTTGTGGTTAGCAGAGGCTTCTCTTCATTAAAGTGTGCAGGCTCCTCAAAGTGGTGGAGAATGTTGCAGAGCACAGGTTCTAGGGACACAGGCTTCAGTAGTTGCAGTCAATTGATTTTTGACAAGAATCCCAGACCATTCAATTGACAGATAACAGTCTCATTAACAAATGGTGTCAGACAATTGGATATACACTTGGAAGGGAAGATAGAACCCTACATTACACCACATGCAAAAAAAAAAAAAAACACATCAAAATGCATCAAAGACTTAAGTAAGAGACATAAAACTCTAAAAGTGATAGAAGAAAGTATAAAGGTAAGTCTTCAATAAGGACCTACTGTATAGTAAAGGGAACTCTGCTCAATATTATGCAGTAATCTAAATGGGAGAAGACTTTGAAAAAGAATAGAGTTATGTATATGTATAACTAAATCACTTTGGTGTACACCTGAAACTAATACAACACTGTAATCAACTATACTTCAATATGAAATAAAAAGTAAAAAAGAAAACATAGAGGTAAATCTTTGTCACCTTGGATTTGGTAATGGAATCTTAGATATGACACCAAAAGCATAAACAGCAAACATAAAGCAAAATTAATTAGACCTCATCAAAACTAAAATGTTTTGTGCATGGGAACACTATTAAGAAAGTCATATGACCGCAGATAGAATGAAAGAAAATATTTATAAATCACATATTTGATAAGAATCTAGTATCTATAATATACAAAGAGTTCTTACAACTTCACAGCAAAAAGAAAAGTAACCCAATTTTAACATGGGCAAAGGACTTGAAGAGACATTTCTCCTTTGAAAACATACAAGTAATCAATAAACACATGAAAAGATACTCAACATCTGCACTCATTAAGGAAATATAAATCAAACCCACAATGAGTTATATTTAATGCCCAGTAGGATGCCTTCTTAAAACACACACAGACACACACAGAGAGAAAATAAGGAGGATGTGGAGATGTTGGAATTCTTGTACATTGCTGGTAGGAATATTTAAGGTGCAGTTGCTGTGGATAACAGTTTGGCAGTTCCACAAAAGGTTAAGTAGTATAACCTAGCAATTCCACTCCTAGGCATATACCCCAAAGAACTGAAAACAAGTATTCAAAACAAATACTTGTATACAAATGTTCACAGCACTATTCACAAAAGCCAAAAGGTGGAAACAACGCAAATGTTCATTACCATATGACCAGATAAACAATGGACTATTATTCACCCATGAAAAGGAGTGAAGTACTGACACATGCTGCAACATGGATGAACCTCAAAAGCATTATGCTAAGTGAAAGACAGACACAAAGGACAACATATTGTATGACCTCACTTATCACCAAGTGTCCAGAATAGGTAAATCCACAAAGACGACAAGAGGTTAGCGGTTGTTAGGGTCTGGGAACAGGGAGAGTCTAGGAACAGGGAGGGTCTAGTGAATGTGCTTATTGGGTATGGGGGTCTCCTATGGAGATGATGAAAATATTTTGGAACTGGATAAATGGTGATGTTGCACAACATTATGAGAGTACTAATACCACGTTAATGGATTATAATTGTTGATCTTGTGTGAATTGCACCTCAATAAAAAGTGAATAAGCCAGGGAGGCCAAGGCAGCCCTAGCTGAAGTTGGAGCCACGTTCCTGCAGCACCCATGCTCTGGCAGAGAAGGCAGAGCCGGTTTTGGCTTGGGTGGAGCTCGGAGCAACAGATTCACGCCCCAGCCCCGCCAATCCCAGAGCACTGGGCGGGCCCTGAGGGCCCTCTCACGCAGGTCCCCAGCGGGCTTTGAGTCACCTTCTGCTGGCTTCGCCACCTATTGGCTGGAACACTTTGTGCAAAATACCCAAAACCTTACCGGACTCGGATTCCGGGGCCGGGTAAGTAAGGGAAATCGCAATCTGAGGTCTCCCCTGGAGTTTCCATTTATCAATTTTTAACCCCATTTCATTAACCTAAATTTGCCGCTTTGGCGATTTCGTCATCCGAAATCCGGATTTCTTATTGATCTATGGTATCATGGCAACCCACTCCAGTATTCGGTGCCAGGAAAAATGCTACGGACAGAGGAGTTCATGGGGTGGCCAAGGGTCCGACACGACTGAAGGGCCTGAGCGGTGCACACACATGTACACACACTATTAACTGCAGTGGTGCGTGAAATAATGGTGAATGTCAGAAACAATGCTGTATCTACGATTCAATGAAATAGGCCTTAAAATTTCTAGTTATGTCTTGTATGCTTATTATTTGATGTCTGTCTCCCCTCCCTTCACATCTATACGCCTGGCAAGGTGCCATAATAGGTGCTTAATAAATGTTGACTGAACAGAAAGAACATATTTGTTTTTATTTTTTTTATCCTTGGCTCCACCCCTCACAGGCAGTTTGACACAAGTGGAGTCATGTAATCCATTTAAGCTTCGTTTTCCTAGTTCACTAAATGGCCGTAATAAACCCAGAGCCTGGCGAGTGAGAGGTTTGAAAGAGGAAGTGTCCTTTTTAGACGTATTCCCAGCGCACGAGTACTCCCTCCATAAAACTCCAACCCGATAAAAAGACAAGAACGGTGTCAATTTTTTTTTAAAGAAAACTTTTATAGCAAAATGTATATGGGAAATTTAAGGGAAGGGAAAGGAAAATCGAAGCCGTTCCAATTTTTTTTTTAAAAAAAGCTTTATTTGATGCATGCCTGCTAAGTCGCTTCAGTCTTGTCCGACTCTTTGCGACCCCATGGACCGTAGCCCGCGAGACTACTCAGTCCATGGGGATTCTCTAGGCAAGCAAGGATACTGGAGTGGACTGCAATGCCCTCTTCCAGGGGATCTTCCCAACCGAGGGAACTGGCATTAAGACAGCTGGGAAGAATTGGGGGTGGGTGATTTCTTTCTCTTATTCCAATGATTTCAATGATTCTTTAGGTCCGAGCTGTCTGTAGATGGCAGAGAGAGAGAGAGAGAGAGAAAAGACGTTAGAAAACGGAAGTCAATAACACCTCCCTCCTCCTCTCTGCCCCCACTCCCCACCCCCTGCAATGCTGACGCCTTATCCAACCCTCAGTACAGGGTCTGTCTAGGGCGTTTGGACTGGCCCAGCCGCCGCGGCACTCACTAGCCTCCGAATTTCGCAGCGCGTCCGCTGCCAGGCTGGGCTGCTCCGGGCTCCCCAGCCGCTCCCGACGCGCCCCACGAGGGCAGGGAGACAGCGGTGGAACAGCCCGCGGGGTTGAGAGAACAAAGAGGGTCTATTACCAGTGCCAAGTTGTTTACCACACATAACTCCAGGCGACTGGAGGCGAAAGTGTCGCCGCCTTGCCCTTCGAACGTCCCCAGGTATCTCTTGCATCTAACTCAGAGCGATTCGGCCAACTGGCGTAACCAGAGAGGTCAGGGGTTCTCGGGCTCAGGGGTGCTCCGCAGTATGAGAAACTTCAGTTCCAGTCCCATTGTCTTTTTTTCCCAGCACCCCTTTCCCTAAGCGGCTAATCGCTTCCTAACGTTTCTAGAATAAAATCTGTGTGTGTGTTTTAATATTTATTTGGTGCCCAGGGTCTTAGCTGTGACGTGTGGGATCTTTCATCTTCACTGTGGCATGCGAACTCAGTTGTGGTATATGGAATATAGTTCCCTGACCAGGGATGGATCAAACTCGGGTGTCTTGCATTAGGAGTAAGGAGTCTCAGCCAATGGAAGACCAGGTTGATCTAATAACCTTTTTTGGACTTACTGGGCCACTACCTTATCTGGTCTCTACCCTTCTCTTTGATCTCTGCGTGCTTTCCCCACCTGGCCTTTCCATCTTCTTAACCTGCCACGTTCTTTTTGGAGTAAGTCTTTGCACTTGAGTTTCTCTGCCTCCACTGGCTAATCTCTTCTCATAAGTCTGGTTCTCTGACCACTCTTAAGATAGCCTCGCCTCCTATTCACACTTCACTCTTATCCACTACATGGGTTTTACAAACTCACTGTTCGAAATACCCTGTTATGTTGCTTAAAAGTCTAGTTCCCCGGAATATAAGCTCAATGAGGGCAAGACTCTTGTTTTGTTCATTTCTGTGTCCGACCTAGAATGGGGCTGATCACACACTAGGAACTTTGAAAAAGAAATGAAAGAAGGCTGGGAAGAAGGGGTCGTGGAAGGGAGAGAGGAAGGAAGGATCATTCGTACTTGGGTTAAATATCTTAGGTTTGATTATTCATTTGCCTGTGGCCCAATTTCATCGCCTAAACCCTTCTCCTCTTCAGCTCCTCCCAGTTCTTGCTCCGCCCAACAGCCCTCTGATTGGCTCCTGATCCTATGCCCTCCCTGGACTCCCCTGGTGGCTCAGATGGTAAAGCGTCTGCCTACAATGCTGGAGACCCAGGTTCAATCCTCCAGATCTCCTGGAGAAGGAAATGGCAATCCACTTCGTGTTCTTGCTTGGAATGGAAATCCCATGAATGGAGGAGCCTGGTAGGCTTGGAAATCCCATGAACAGAGGAGCCTGGTAGGCTACAGTCCATGGGGTCGCAAAGAGTCAGACAAGACTGAGCGACTTCACTTTCTTTTCACTTTCCTATGCCACCGCCTTCCGCAAGCTTCAATTCCAGGAGAGAGTGGCAGGCTAAAGATGTGCGTGCCTCTCATACCCAAGGCGCAGCGCTCAAGACATCTCCCCAAAATCCAGAGCTAGCCTCTCCACTCCGTCCTCCTAAGCTCCCCTAGTGCACGAGGAGCCTAGTACCCCAGTTCTGAGCCAAAACAGGATAGGTTTCAGTCGCTTTGAAGTTATGGTTTACCTTAAATTTTCGTGTAATTTCGTATTGGTATATGCTTTTTAGATAGATAAAACAATTCTGTCTTCAGAAAACTAAGAGTAAAGTTGATATTTTAGGCAGGTAGGAATGAGGCCGGGGAAAGGGGACCAAGGGAAAAGAAGTTCTTGTGGTTGTAGAAAAAGGCAAGGAGGACCACATTCCCATCATAACAGAATGCTCAAGGGAGGGAAAAGCTCAAGAGAGTGTTTCTCATAGACTGCAGCAAATCCCAGTGTGCAGACTGCGAGAGTTGGGGAGGTCTCGGCTCCAGTTGCCCTGAGAACCCATTGGGGGAGCTCTGGAAAACTCCACCGCATTTGGCAACAGTCGGGAATGACAGGTCTCTGTCAGATGATGCCACGCGAAGCTGACTTTGGAAATCCCAGGGTGGTTCAGCGATCTTGGTAAACGGGAAAACTGAGAGCCACTGAATGGATGCGGCTGCAGCTCATGTGCAGGAAGAGGGGCCACTAGACCCGTAGCCTCCGGAGTGTTCAGTTCTACTCAATCTAGTCTAGTTGTGCAGTGAGTGTTTAGGGGAAGGGAGGCACGGTTTCTGCGTTGGGCGATTGGCTTTATCGTGCAGAAATCCATCTTGAGATATCTCCGTCCGCAACCCTAACGTGGTGGTGCGATCAGAGACTGGGGTTGTCCCACGGGTTGGCAGGGTGAGCTAACACCAAATAGCCTACTATCCTGAGTCCAACTTTCTCTTCTGAAAAGTGAATACTCTGGGATGCGGAAGTTCTCTGAGTTCAAACTCGTGGATCCACCACCTCACCTGCCGGACCTTCCGCGGGGTCTGCGCGGGCCTGACTACCGCCTTCCGTGCCCTCTGCAGCCGCGCGCAGGTACCCGGCGACGTCGCGGTGGCCCCGCTCTTCAGCCAGGTCCACGGGCAGGCGGCCCCACGCATCGCGCACATCCAGCCGCGCCCCGGCTCGGTGCAGGGCCACCAGCGTGTCCAGGAAGCCCTCCCTGGCGGCGTCGTGCACCGGTTGGGTGAGCGTGGCGGGGTCCGCGCAGTTGGGGTCCGCGCCGTGGAGCAGCAGCAGCTCGGCTACTCGGGCGCTGCCCATCATCATCACCTGCCGGAGAGAGCAGAGTGGTCAGGACAGGTGGGGTCAGGGGCAGGATTAAAGAAACTACTTGTACAACCCCTACTTCCTGCAGATGCGCTTACAATCCGCAACTATGTAGTTACTACTTTTTTTTCAGTTACGGACTCGCTTAGCCAGTTCTCCTACCTATTCCTTTTTTTTTTTTTTTTCTGTACACACTGTTATATTCTTCAACATTTTGCGGGGTTCCAGCCACGAACAGAACACTATCAGAGTCATCAGTTCAGTTCAGTCGCTCAGTCGTGTCCGACTCTTTGGGACCCCATGAACCTCAGCACGCCAGGCCTCCCTGTCCATCACCAACTCCCGGAGTTTACTCAAACTCCTGTCCATCGAATCGGTGATGCCATCCAGCCATCTCATCCTCTGTCATCCCCTTCTCCTCCTGCCCCCAATCCCTCCCAGCATCAGAGTCTTTTCCAATGAGTCAACTCTTCGCATGAGGTGGCCAGAGTCATAGATAACAGCAAAAAGGTGAGGAACAAACTGACTTCTACTACAGCCTAACCTCCTGTATTTCTTATTTTGATATGAAATTATGCCAGGCCCAGAGACTTTGTATGGTTCACTGCTTTATGTCCAAGCCCAGAACGTGGTAATAGTTTAAAAGCAAAAATGAAAAAACAAACACAAAAACTTACTTCTTGTAAAACTTTAAGCTACCCTTGATTTCCCTGAACGTTAAACTTCAATTTCTTGAAGAATAAAATGAAAAAATTTGTATAACCAGTCCTAAAATTCCTTCTTCTTGTAAGCTAAATAATGTCCCCCAAAGATGTCCACTTCCTGATACTCAAAAGCTGTTAACATATCACCTTTTATGAAAAAAGGGACTTTGCAGATGTGATTAAATTAAGGATTTTGAGGGCAATTACCCTGTATTGTCAGGGTGGGCACAATTTAATTACAAGTTTCCTTATAAAAAGATCACAGTCAGAGAGAAGATATAAGAATGGAAGCGAAGGTTAGAGAGAAAATGCCAGGGCCAAGAGCCAAGGAATGTTGACTGTCACTAAATGTTGGGAGAGGCAAGGAAATGGATTCTTCCTTAGAGCTCCCAAAGGGAATGCAACCCTGTGGACCCATTTTATAATTCTGATTTACAGAACCATAAGATAATAAATTTATGTTGATACTAAATTTGTAGTAATTTGTTATAGCAGAAATAGCAAGACAGTTTCCAAGATCACACTCTGAGACTTCATTAAAGAGGAACCTCATTTGGTTCCTAAATAATCTTTGATGATACAAGACCATCACCAAAGGGGAATTTTGAAATACTGTTCACAATCACAGCAACCTTACAATTTGAGTGTTATATGGTGGGTGGCGGTGATAGACCATACTTTTTAGGGTAACCATTATTTGGTTACATTAGCTACACCATATTGAGGAATTATTTATTTTCAGTTGAATTATGTATTAAACTCGAATTAATTTGTCAAAACCAAGGTATCTTAACAAGTTATACTATGCTTGTTGAGTTCTGTCCTGGAGAAAGTGAAACTGACTTAATTTTCATAAAAACACAGAGAAAATTTAAGTGAACCAACTTGCAGCTACAAAAAGAAAGAAAAACTAACATAGTACATTAGAAGAAAGAATTGTTTTAAAAGAAAAACTGGGGAAATTTACACTATTAGATTTCTAATGGATTATGAATTAATTTCCAAAACAAAGGGGCCACACCCAAGGATACCATAATCTTTTGGAAGCTCTACTACAAGTGCCAGAGCTCATAGTAGGTCTACTTCCATGCTTGTATATAACACAGGTGAAAATATATTAGATGAGTTGGATAAATGAAGTCCTTGGTCTTAATCATAAAATTGGTTAAAGGTTTTATTATATGCTACAGTATTAAAGTATGAAAAGTAACATAATATTTAAATATTTGAATCATAGTAGCAATCCAAAGCAAAAAGAAAATTAATCATTCAAATGAATATTTCTAGGGTACTTAAGTCAAATTGAAGATATAAATTTAATTTAGTAATTAAAATTTTTCTATAAGCTAAGTATTTTTAAACACAAATTTGGTTAGGGTTCAAAACTAAAATCATATCCCTTTTGTCAATGCCCTTACCCTATTTAAAAATAATTTAAAATTAATTATCTAATTTTCTTTTTGTATTTAAACAATAAGGTCTACTATAACATCTTCCAGAACTAGAAGGCTGTAATGCCCAGTCTGCAAACTGCTGGCAAAACTTTAGCGATATCAAATTATGAATCAGGCATGCATTTTTTAAAAAAAGAACTCATGCTTCTCTTCTACAACCATTCAACCTTTTTATCTCCAAATTTCTCCACATTTCAAAACCCAAATAATTTCAAATTTGAGGATATTTTATTTTTATTTTTGTATCTAAAAGTATATAAAATATATCTATTCTATGTAGCATAGTTTGAGGAAAGGACGATTCACTTGTGAAACTTATGAAGTTCCAAGTTGAGTTACTTTTCCTTTGTCTTTTTATGCTGGAGTTTTTGCAGTGTGCATTTCATATAAATTTTATTTTTCAGGATCAGAAATCACTGTCGAAACCTGGAATAAAACTGGAGTGACGGCCAGGAAGAATTCATTTTTAGCCTCAGATTTAGGAAGTTAGTGAAGGCAAAAACAAAAAAACAACAGAAAAACGAACTCACAACGCATCCTCACACATACAAAACTGCAGTGGGGAGAGGAGAAATGACATTTTTAAACTATGAGGAACTGAAAACTCCCCAATAAATTAATCTATACCAAGTAAGTTTAAAATATCCCAAAAGGTAAGAGACACTCAAGTGGTAACTAAATTGGCAGCATTATTTCAGGCATAATTGCACTAATTTTTTCCCCCATGTATGTCTATTTCCTAAACAATCATATATGTTCCTTACTCGGTTAAAAAAAATAATAAACACGATATGTAGTTGCTTCTGAATAATTTCAATCGACCTTTATTCCAACTTACACAGCAGTAGATTTCCACTGAAATCTCCCTCCCCACCCCGCCCCCCCCCCCCCCCAAACAAAGAAGTCGGTCAGCTGCAGTCACAATTCTTTAAGTTCGGGGGTAAGAGGTCCAGCAAGTCTTACATGTCTTTATGCTCGTAGTCCAGACGTTCGTCGATTTCTCATCTCGGTCTATATTAACATACATAGGTTCTCCCCCTCTAGATCTTCACACCATTTTAGAGATCTGAACCCCACGCGCCTTCTCAGCCAACTCCGGGGGGTGGGGGGGCTTAGTCCCCTGAGAGGTCTCCGATCCCGAACTCGGTCTGAAAAGTCTCCCCTTCACCAAGAAACCCTTACCTGGTTCCGACTCACTGGCGGACCTCGTCCTCCAAAGCCTCTCGCCATCCACTGCGCCCCCCACCCGCCCACCTTTCCGCCGCAGACCTGCTGACCCACCTGAATCGCGCTTCGACCGTAACGGTTCGGCGCGTTGGCCGACGCCCCCGCCTCAAGCAGCGCCCGCACCTCGTCAGCCCGGCCCCGCGCGGCGGCGGCGGCCAGCGAGTCGGCCGAGGTCTCCATGCTGCTCCCCAACGCGCGCCCCTCGCTCCCTCCCTTCCTCCCGCCTGCGTCGAGCGCGGGCGGCCCGCCCAGGCAGCTCGTGAGCAGCCAGCCCCTCCTCTCTCCTCCTCCCGGGCTGGCGGAAGCGGCCCCCAGACTCGGCCCCTCGACTCCTCCCGAGGAGTCTTTCCACCCGCGGAGCGCCCTCCACGCGCTGTTCCAGGAGGCGCCCTTTGCTCCCAACGAATGGAACATCTCTGAAGTCCCCCCGCGCCGCGCCTCCTCGGTACAGGTCCGCCGCCCACGCGACCCGAGGCACCGGCCGGAAGCTCTCAGCTCCGGGAGCGCGGCGGGACCGCGAAAGGAGGGCGCCCTGGGCCCTCCTCCCTGCCCCCTCCCCGCGTCCTCGCGGCGGGTCTCTGCGCGCAGCGGGCCCCGACTCCCATCTGAGGCGCAGGCGCGGCTCCGAGCGAGTTCACTCCAGCCAAGTGAAAATTCCTCGCGTATACACCCTGCGTGGCAGGAGACAACTGCACAGGACTCCTAACTGCCAAGTTCGAACCACTGTGTTTGCTGTCATAGGCGAAGTGTTGCTTCCTCTTTTAATCAGAAGCAGCAGCCAGCTTGTCCTGGCGCTGAGAGCCCAGGATAGGTATCAGCCATTCCACCGTGAGGCTTTCCTTCTCGGAGAGGACACATTCCCCCTCCAACGCTCAGCACCTGGTTTTCGAGCGCGGGATCAATTGTGCCAGAAATTCTAGCTCAGACGTCCCTTCTGGAGAGCTGGCTCACACGCCAGCCTGTGCCTCCCTCCCTCCACGCACATGTAAAACGGATGTCGGGGGAGAGCGTTTCCTAGGCTTGCACAATACCTGGTACTAGTGCCCAGCATACGGGCTGGCTCCAAGCAGATGAGGTCAATTTAAAAGGGATGGTGGAGATTTCCACCTAAAAACAGATAGGAAAGTGGCAAGGGTGTCCCTAGGCTTAATAGGCTCTGTTCTCAATAATTCCTCCTACACCAGAAAACATGCTCATTACGCTAGGGACAGGGCTGCATTCAGAGATGATTCAGAAAGCAGGCTCACACACTGTCTTGGTGCCACTTCTGTCCACCTTTGCTTCCTATTAGAAAAACCTTACACTTTTCTTAGTTATAAAATGGGGGGGGGGGTAAGAGTCGTCCCTACTTCCTAGGACTGTTTTGAGTTTTAAATGAATTGATACACACATAAGCATTTAGAACAGTATCACACATCCTAAGTTAATGCCTGTTAGCTCTTAAATTATTCATTTTGAAGATTTTCTTGCAATCTAGGAGACAAAGAAGGAAATGGTTTGGGTAGAATTATCAATATTATATATAAAAGGACAGACAAGAAAACCTTAATCATTGGAACAATGATGGACATCTTCCAACAACTGACATATTTAATGAAAAGTTAATGCTTAATCTGTC